CAGTTTTGAAAAGAGTTTTTAGAATAAATTCTGAGAATAAAATCAAAGGTCACAGACCAGACAACAGAATAGGTCACAGAAATGGTAGAACAGAATAGAGCTTCTCAAAAATAGGTTTAAACGGCCTTCAAATAAAAATAAAAAGAAAAAAAACAACAAAGCAAATCAAGACCTTAATTCTCCTAAACTGAACCTACAATGGAAACTATTTTTTTCCACCCATGTGAGATGATTTATTCTCCTTCGTGTTCTTTTCAAAAACATAATAAACAAAAGAAAGGGACAATACAGCATCTTGGCACACTCCTCCCAAAAACTCTCCCATGGCCACTGCTACCCCGCTCCAACAGTGTGATCACTTCAGACAGCTGAGATAGAAGATGTTCGAGTGCGGAGCTGAGCCAGCGTACGTTGGCTGCAAAGGAACAAGTTAGGTTTAAGTCTATGCTGAAGGATAGAGAGCAGAAACACAACTTTCAGCTGTGGAGTCTTCTTCTGGTATGAGAGAGAGAAAGAGGGCGAGGATATAAGGGAACGTTTCCGCAGGTCATTCCTCCCGGCGGCTGTCAGGGTGTATAACGATGCCCTTGGCTAGGACTGTTTGCCCTTCATTTGCTCCTCTATGGGCAGCATGTTTGCTCTGTTGTACTTTTTGGACAATCAGTCTGTATAAACCTATGCACATTTTGCACATATTTTATTGTTTTTACAGTGACTATGATCATCACATTTTGCACACACCTATGTATTTATTTATTATTTATTTATTTTGTTGTCTTTTGTTTTATAACTATTCTGATGTCTGTTTTGCTTGTCTTTGGCTGGACTGCTGTAACACATCAATTTCTCTACGGGTTTAATAAAGTATTATCTATCTATATAATACACTGGAGACCATGGGGCGGTGCGGAGGCTCTGTGGCTGATGATCTGTGCCTGTGGCTGGAAGGTTGCTGGTTCATATCCCGCGGGAATGAGGAATCCTACTCTGTTGGGCCCCTGAGCAAGGCCCTTAACCCCAACTGCTCCAGGGGTGCTGTATAAATGGCTGACCCTGCGCTCTGACCCCAAGCTTCTCTTCCTGTCTGTGTGTCTCATGGAGAGCAAGTTGGGGTATGCAAAAAGACAAATTCCTAAAGCAAGAAATTGTGAAATATGGCCAAAAGTGATCTTATCTTCTCTAGAACAAGGGGCAGAGCAGGTGAGTAAACACACTCATGAGAAAGAGTAAGCACAGGGAGGTAGTTCTTTTTAAAGCATCTCCCTTCACACCCCCAAAGAAGGCTCAACAACCGAAACACTGAGTTTCACTTTTCAGTGTGGGATTTACCTTAACTCATTCCATTGCAACTCAGACAGAAGTACTGTGTAATACGGACTTCACAGCATCAGCAGAAGCACTTCAAGCCCCCACTATCCCATTCCTGGCAACATCCGAGCGGTGCAGACATCCCTCAGAGTCCAAGAGAAGCCGGGATCCAACAGTGACTGAGGAGGAACAGCGCAGGCTCCCAGCAGGTGTCTATGTGCCTTGTGAGCACAGTGTTAAGAGACTTGGGGCAACCTTGTATGACAACACCATTTAGTCTGGAAAGAAAATGTAAGTGGTGTTTCGTATTTTAGTAAACGAAATTAACTGTTATCATTCACTTCATCTTTTTTTAAATTAATTTGTTTAAATTGCTCCAGGGTACTTCTTCATCTATGACAATCAAATCTCTATTTTTACAGTCACCCTCTATGTTTTATTCCTTAAATATACATTATTCTGCACTTGCCTGTGAAATTGGTGTGTAGACTACCCTATAGACATTCATGGCTGAAAAGCAGTTGTATGTGACGGTAATGCTATTGTATTAAATGATGAAAAGGGAAAAATGTATTCTGGCTGGGCCACCTGGTATTACAGAAAACTAGGGCCTCTTGGTTCCATAGGCTGGGAACTCCTAAAGTACAGGTCTTTAATTGAGCAACCACGATGTCAATAACAGTGGAAGGACACAGCATTCAAACCCACACGGTTTATTTTCAACAGCCAGGCTAGCATCTATCAACAAATCACAATATCCCTTACTAGATGACAGAGATCATTCACAGTTAACTGGTGAGTTAACAAATACACAAAAGTGGATCAAACAGACTTACAATCACAGGGAACACTTTTTAGAAAGAGAAGAGGGCTGCCAGTGCTCTTTAATATTTTAAAACTGGCTTACCCCAAAACCAGTCAACCAAAAGATTCCTCCCTGTTGGATCCTAACACTACTCAGCAGAATTTGGTTAAGAAAAAAAGTAGCTTGTCCTAGGGAAAGATAACCCAACAAAAATATAATGTAGGCACTTCCAATTCTGCAGAGGCTCTACAAGAAAACCCCTCTTTCTTGTCTTTGTTTCTCTATTGCTGCTCCCTTTATTGAAGAGCTTCCATCTTGTTTATTAACTTATCCCAGTACTAGCTAGTTGTCACAGGTAGAATCACACAATGATGGCCCAAGTGCTCATCAATTTAGGGCGGATGTGTAGGGTGTGAACCAGAGTTGGCAATGTGATGAATACAGTGGCAGCAATATTCCCATTGTTCAGCAGGGTGCTCACACAGTCAGGGCTGATGACAACAGGGTGTGGACTGGGCCTGGAAATGGGAGACAGAGAGAAAACAAAAAGAGAAGGGAAAGAGAAGAACAGCACACCCCAATACATTCTGTACTCTGTAGGTGTTCATTGCTGAAAAGGAATTGTAAGCAAAAAAATAAAGATTATCCATATTGAGATTGCCAGTCCTGGAAAGACAGAACACCATCCTCATTTAAGGTCTTGCTTGAATCTGAATCCTTTTGTGGAAAAGGAAAACAATTCCTGATTGCAGAAGGATTTTATTCCTAAGGAAATCAAGAGAATGGGCATGGTAGAAACATTGTGAATCTTTCTACTAAGTTTTAATTAAAAACATTATGTAAAAAAGTTTTATCTTGCTTACGTTCACTACAAAAAAGGAATGTTGCAAATGATATAAACATCCTTGGAAAAGTAATTTTTTCACTGTACTTATGTGGCAAGACCCTTCAGCTCTCATGAACTTGTGAACTGAGGTAAAGATGGCTTTGAGCTCTGTTGGCTACAACAGGAATGACTGTAACTCTCAACTGGAAGACAGTCTCTCTCGGTGATCTCCTCACACTTGGAATGGTGCGTCCGTGTTGGGTATATTCAGGGTAAAACCGCATAACAGTATCCTCAGGTGAGCGAATAGGTCTAGATTGCCCATTTTCTTTCAAATACAATTGTCTGTTATATACATGGACCATGTCAAGTTGCTTTTTTCAAGAACTCAAATGGATCACATTCACGTCTCTCCCGCGGATGAAGGGGATATTGGGAGCTGTCCTCCAGCTTGGTAATCATGCACTGCAAAATTTCCATTTTCCATTTCCATGAATATTCAGCTTACTTTTTTGCTCCCTTTATTATTCCAGTTTCAACACAGTCGGAAAAAGCAGTTGACAATTAAACACCTAAGCAGGCACTCATCACATGACTCTGTTAGTTAACACTTGGATTTTACAAGCTGCACCTTGTGTTGCATTAATTTCTTAAGCAGAGCAATCATTTCAATTCAGAAACTTCAGTTACTTCATTAATGGGGAAACAAGGGGCAAAGAATCAATGTTTTTCCAAATTCTTGTAATCTCAGAAATACAAATTAATTTTAAAAGGATGAAGAGTAAGTTAAAGCAAATGAAAGAGAATGGCAGTCTACCACATCTCCAACTCCAGGTTATGATTTTGGGAAGCTGGTCGTGTGGTCTCATGCATATTACCACAAATAAATTGTGAAAATTGTATCTTTTTTATTTTAGGAAAAAAAAAACATTACACTTTCTAATATAATCACACTTCATAGTATAATCATAGTAAGTGGAATGAAAATCAACATAAACATTTTTTTTACAGAGTGCGAGTTGTACTTTGAGCTGTAATTTTAACTCCTCCTTCCAAAAATGCAGTTTCTTAAGGGTTGGTTAGAGAAAACATACAGATGATTAAAACATGTGGTGCAATCCTGTACTGATTAGATTACATTTATTTTACTTTCCCTTTCTCAAAGGGTGAAAAGAACAATCCTGAGAATTTTAGGAAGTTTCTTGTTCTGCACCAAATATATAGCTTTTTTTAAAAGAGTGGCTCATGTTCATTTTTAAAATATAAGCAGCGCATTAGTTCCAGTACCTGTATACCAAAAAGTATATACACACTGAAGATTTTAAAAATGTTTTCTAGCACACAATTTGTTCACTCTACGATGAAACGGTAGGAGTCTGAAAGATGCTAATCCAACTGGAGGCAAAAGGTATGAGAGTACTGAGAAGTACATATTTTCTTAGTTGTTCCAATTTATACTGATGTAACGAACAGTTCT